CCAAAATCAATCCGCCCTGGGTCTGACATTATATGAGTCTATTATTGAGACTGTCTTTCAAAAAACAGAGTCTGGTACCCCATCTGCCATCACCTTAAAAAGCTCCTCCCTTCTCCCAGGCAGCCGTAGGCAGAAAGCTTTGCCTGCCTGAGAGGTCACAAACTCCCAGACACACACTCTCAAAAGCCACTCCTCCACTTCCTAGCCCTATAGGCCACACCCCACCCCACCCACCCCACCCCACCCCAACCCCCTGAGCAACTAAGACAGGGGCTTACTGGCCAATCATTACTAAGACTCAAACAACTCCACTGATGCCAGCAGGAAACATTGTTACTGAGCTACTTGGAATCCCTGGAAAAGGGTGTTCTACATTGGGGGTACCAGCTCTCTGGATTATTCCAGAGGCTGGGTAAGACAAACAGAGGACAGGTGTGAGGGAACACGTCTGTCCGCCACCCCCTCTGTCCTCCTCCTGAGAGGCTCCCAGAAGCTGCCACTATAGAAACAGAAGCTGCAGGAGTATGGCATGGGGCCAGGCCCTTAGCTGCTCTCTCTCCAGCAAGGCAAGGTTGGGACAGCCCTCCCCAAAGCCTTGCCTCCCCAGTCGGGCCTTTCTGCTGAAGGGCCTCTGACAGGGCTCTCTGTACTCCTTAGGCTTATGAGTTGGGTGAAAAGCTCAAAGCTAGAAAGGAAGAACGGCTGGTGAAGGGCTGTGACAGACAGAGAGGTTAATGGAGGCTTGAGGGCTAAGTCAAATCTAGTGCTGACTCTTAGCAAGGACCTGAGGGACAGGCAGCTCACAGGGAGACCAGGAACCTCTGCACTCAGGCTCTCAGACATGTCCTGAAGCAAGGTCACCCCCCCCACACACACCCTGGACATGTTCACTCACAGAGTGATGCCCCAGCTCAAACTGCCACCAGTCACTGGCCAAGCCCACCAGCACCTCAGAGGCAGAGCAGGCGTCTGCTCACAAACCTTCATCCACAGCCCCGTGCCCCAGCCTCATGCCACTCTTCCTGGTGGTCTCACAGCACAACTGCTCTTTTCACTTAAGGCTTTTTTTGGGGGGATGGGAGAGGGCTCACTGTGCAGCCAGGGCTGGCCTGAAATTCTTGGCAATCTTCCTGCCTCGGCTCCCAGAGTGCTGGGATTACAGGTCCGAAGCATCTTGCCTGGCACCACTTAAGTCTTGAAACAAAGCTACGTCAGGTAGCTGCTGAGATGGCTGTGAAGGTAAAGGCACCGCCTGCTGGGGAAGTTTGCTTTATGATATGTAAACATGTTTTTGTTTTAATCCTAGGTGTGGGATATGGGACTGATTCAGATTGTCCAAGCAGCAAACTTACTTGCCTCATGCAGGTTCCGAGAGGGGCTCTTTCCCAGCTGAATATAGTTTAATTCTGAGGCCTCTAAGAGGTTATAAAGTCAGAGCACAGAGAGTGTTGAGGGGGCTCTGAGAAAGAAGGCTGCCGGTGCACAACCCCCTGCCCTGCTCCCCACCCCGCTCCTGGTGCTGTTCATGTCTCGTGGCAAGTTGGAGATATCCTGAAAGAGGATTGGATTGGACTTGCCCCAAGGAACCCAACAATCCTAACCAGCACAAAGCAGCTAAAGAAAAACTATGCTAAAGAGAACTCCGCCCCCTTTCCCCACTAACCTTTCTCCCCTAGCCAGTACTGGGATGTTGGAAGGGATGGGGGGGGGGGGCACAGGGAGAAAGAGGGATTAAGAAACATAAATAAAATAGTTTTAAAAGTACAACACCTGACACCAAGCCTGATGAGCTGAGTTTAATACCCTATGTAGTAGAAAAGAGAGAACGATAGAACCAAGTTTTCCTCTGATGACCTCCACACTCATAGCTCACGCCCCTCCCTGCCCCCACGAATGAATTGTTTTAAATGCAAATGAGTTGTAATGGGGTTTCAACATGTGCCTCCAATTACATGTATTGGAAAATGAACTCCAAAACTCATGTGCCAATAATATGGAAGCAGGGCCTTCTGGGAGTTAATTACATGACATGAGGTCATCAAGGTGGAGCCCTATGTGACAGTACTGGCTTTGTAAATGGAAGAGAAACTTGAGCTAGCAGGCTTGCTGTCTGACTTCATGATGCCCTTAACCAGGTTAGATAAAGCAAGAAAGTCTATCAGAAAACAACACTGGACTGACTAATTAGACTTCCCGGCCCCAGAGCCAAGAGCCAAGAGCCAAGAGCCAAACAAACCTCTGTTCTTTTGAAATTACCCAGTCTGTGGTATAGGGACAAAGGAGAGGGTAATCAAGAAGCTGTCTCCTACAGACACGTGAAAGGATGAGCAACGAAGCAGGACTCAGCTTCGGCAGAAAGGGTCTGGGAGGCGAGTGTGGCCTGAGATGCTCATCTCATTGTCCATGAAGAGTAACAGCAAGGGCCCCTGGTATTCCTGAGCTGACACAAGCCAAGCGGAGGCCATACACTCACCATGTCACTCAGAGGTTGACCCATGAGCACTCTCCCAGGACCTCCTCTAACGAAAGGCCCAGGGCAGGGAGCCACTATGCCACTCCAGACCCAGAAAGGGCAAAGCACATACCTACATGGAAAATTCTAGATCTTACCTTTTAGCACTCCCTAAGGCCCAACAGGGCCCTGAACAAATCTTTCCATTCCTCTCACCTGCTAACAAAAGACTCTACCATATCTGTGGCTTCCTGGTGGCCTCTGGTGTCTGCAGACTCCATGTGAAGAACAAGAGTTCTTCATTAGATTTTGTCCTTCTCACTCTGATCACTCTCAGATTCCCAATCCTCCAACCACGGTATCCTGTTGCCACTAGGTGGCAGGGACAATGTAGCCAACTATTTTGTGTCAATACCCTCATGTCTGTCACAGAGATACCATACAGGGCATAGGTATCCGGAAGACTTTAAGACACCCCCCCCCCCATGGACTCCTACAGTGGTCACACACCCTATAAGATGTGGATACCTGCTGAAGTGGGGACTTCACTTTGGACCATGACCATGACCCAGGCTGTGGCACGGCAGTGCTAAGCCCTTCTTGTCACGCAAGGCTTTTCAAAGAGGCAGTTCTGCACATAAGAATGTTAGGAGGACAACTTAGTGAGCAGAGGCAGGGTCTGGGAAGCATACCCTGGCGGCCACAGGAGCCAAGGACACTAGTCTCTACTTTGACTGGATAAGGCACATCTCACACGCTTCCCGATCAGACCTTTGTAAATCTCCCACCCCAGAGCACAGGGAAGGCACCCTCCAGCCAGTTGCCAAGCAGACAGGACTGCCCACCCTTCTGCAGCCCATGAGCACAACATTTCATCTTTGAGTCGGCCGTGAGTGGGTGCCATTCTAGTTCTAGCTACTGAGGAGTTAGGAAATGGTTCTCACCTGGCAGGCAACAGCCAGGGCTGTCAATAGCTCTTGTCCACCATCTGCTACCTCCATCTCCTCATCTGTACAATAGGGAGGTCTCTGGTTTCTTAGCCTTGAGGTGATTTCACAGACTCCGGGCGCTTGGCTCTGTGGGGCATCCTCACTCTGCTGGCCTCTTCCCCCATAACCCTTTGGCCGGGGCTGGAGTGCACTGTCTATTTCAATCAAAGGACTGTGAGAGGGAGAGCCTGGGGCTGCCTCTAGAGGGGGGGCACATAAAGAGGTGGGGAGGGGAAGGAGGAGAGAGAGGAAGGTAGGCAGCCTGCCCGAGCACTCTATCTGCACCACTGAGGGACACACACCAACAGCTGAATGCCAGGGGAGTTCACCAAAAGTTTACCAACCTCCTTTGTCACAGAGCACGCGGCATGGAGCCATCAATCACGCCTTCATTTACCCATGTCACTCTCCCAAGGAAAGCAGGAAAGCTGGCCCCAGAGTGGCCAGTGGCTTCCTCTCTCGCCCACTTGATGAGGGGCCTCTCCTAATTGGCCCTGCTAAATCACTCCCAGGAATGCAATGTGCAATTAGGGCTGGTAGCACCCCCCTGAGGAGGGCCTCCCTGGCGGGGCCTCAGTAGCCTCTGGGAAATCAGGGCAAGCTATAGGTTCCCTACCTAAAATGAGCCTGGGGGAGGGGCAGGCCCCAAGGATGGAGGCAGAAGAACAATTGGATGAAGGACACCAGAGCCCCCAGCTCCTGTTCCCAGGCCCTCCTGGATGTCTCACAGACAGGCTGCGTCTCACTCAGTTTTTCTCCACGTGTCACAGGGAAACACATCCAGACAGCGACAGCAAGTCTGACTGGCTATCTCAAAGCATCGGGCATGTAGAAAACTAATGTTATGCCCAACCACTTCTCCCCCCCACCAGGTTTCCTTACATGTATCAGGATTAGTGCAGGCTTCATCTGCCTGGCGGCCTCTCCGCTGGCCTTGCCGTTGCCAGTGAGTAGCTCCAATGCACTTCCAACAAGATGTCCCACCCAACTACCTTGGGCAGGAGAAGTACCCTCGGACTCCTCCATCTGGCCCTCCCCTGCCCCGGGATAGGCCACACTATCCCTTCCGGATTCATGTACGGGAGTATCTTTCTGAGCTTGCTATCACTGTATGGAAGTTCACAGCCCTCCCCGACCTGCTCAGGGAATCCCTCCAAAGCGAATACATGAACAGATATCCTCCTCCCTCATGCACAGTTTCCAACCACATTCCCCAAATGCACAGAAGTCTTCTCCCGGGCTGCCACCGACTCAGGGAGCTCTCGTCCTCACGGAACACCTGTCGGGGCCATGTGGACAGATCGGCCCCGGAACATACAAACAGGGAGGGCTCCAACGGTGAACCATTTCTTCATTTAAGCAACGAGCACGCTCAAACCTAGAGGCTCCCAGATACCCGCTGCTTTATGGCCATGACGCCACGCGTGATGCCAGGGAGTCTGAGGAATCTGCCAGGTCACCCACCCCGAGGGCGCCTCTGGCCCCTGGGAACCCTGGGCACACACAGGCCTCCCCAGCTGTCGGCCTCCCTCAGCTTGCTGCAGGCTTGCAGGGCCTACCTTACGCTTCTTGGCCCGCCCCTCCGCCTGCAGAGTGCGCGTGCAGCGCTGCACACACTCGGAGAAGCTGAGGTTGCTGTGGTCGGCACTGTAGTCCAGGTCAGCCAGGCGCGCCAGGGACAGGATGTAGTTACAGGCGATCCTCAGGATGGCCAGTTTGGACAGCTTCTGCCCGTAGGAGTAGCATGGCACCTGAGAATGGCAGGAGAAGGCATCAGGAACGGCAGCAAGGGCCTTCGGGCTGAGCATGCACCCCTCAGTGCCCACCTAGGCGGCCAGGGCAGTAGAGGCAGCCTGTCCACTGTGTGTTGGGGCCTGACGTCTCATTTTGTGACCGCTGCTAAGCGCCGGAAGTGTACACAGCTCATCCACTCCCATTACCCAGGGTGCCTCTGAAGTCCCACTTGACAGAGGACCTGAACACCAGCTGAAGTACCACAGACTTCCACCCCACAAAGCCCTGTCTTCCTTCCGCTCTGAGGGCCTAAATACCCTATCTATCTACCTCTGATGCTTTTTTCATATGTTCATTCATTGACATTTATTTTGTTGGATGCCTGAGGCCTCCATAACTAAGAACTTTTTTTTTTTTCTGAGCTAGGGTCTCACTATGTAGACCAGGCTGTCCTCCTAACACAAAGAAATCCACCTGTCTCTGCCTCCTGAGTGCTGAGATTAAAGGTGTGTACCGCCACGCTGTGGTAGCATGCCCCTATAATCCTAACACCTGGTGGGGGAGGGGAAGGCAGGAGGATCAGGAATCCAAAATCAACCTCACCTAACAAGTTCAAGACAACTACATGTCTCAAAACAATTTTTAAAAATAAATCTAAAATAAAAACACAACTCCTAGCCAAGCGTGGAGGTGCACACTACAATCACAGCATTTGGGGGGCCAAGGCAAAAAGATGGCTGTCAGTTGGAAGCCGCCCTGGGCGAAACAGTGAGTCCCAGGCCAGCTGGGACCACAGAACAAGATCCTGCCTGAAAACAAGCAAGCAAAGAAACAAACTTCAACTCCTGCCTTCAAAGACTGTAGACCCAAGAAGAATGATAGCAGCTGGAGGGAAGGCTCAGTGGTAAAGACTGTGGCCACAACCTCACAACCAGAGGCCAAGCCTGGGAGCCCACAGATGGTGGAAGGAGAGAATGGATGCTAAAACTCTGCTCTCCACATCCCTCATGTGTGCTATGGCATGTCTGCCCACATGCACATGCCATGCTCACTCTCTTCGTGAAAAGAACTTACTAAAAAACATTTAAAGACATCAAACATTCTCCTGGGACCCCGAAGACAATCAGGGGACAGTGCAGATACTCAGACACAAAAATGCGGTATTTTTCTTCTTTTTTCACTTGCTCTACACCCTCTGGGCCTGGGCTCCTGCCAAGCATGGCACACAACAGGTGCGTCATAAATGCCAACCAGACTTGATTCATTTGCCTGTGATTTGGCAGCACCTAATCACTCACTAATTGTGGGAGGGGGCGGAGCTTCTGACTTCTTAGCACTGCCCCTCCTACACACGTGCTGTGTAAACCGTCAAACTGCACGATGGAACTGGCCGTGGTGTCACGTGGACGCAGCTACTCACCGTCCACCTGACAGCTACCCACCAACCGACCCGTTCTCTTCTTGCTCTGCTCACCCAAAGGGCTGAAATGCTCCCGCAAGCAACCAAGGCTCTGCTCCCTTCCGTGACTCTTGGGCGTCTGCCCACAGCGTCCCTGTCACCCAGCCCAGTGCGGCACACTCGCAGGACTGCTGTAGTGTTTAGGGGGCACGCTCATGGGCCAGGGGATCTTTGAAGCCCATGGTTTTGAACCAGAGATGATTTTTTCCCTCGAGGGACAGGTTGCAGGGTCTGGAGCCATTCCTAGTCGTCAGGGTGGAGGAGCAGGAGGGTTTGAAGGGAAGTGTGGGGCTCTGCTGAACGCCATGCCAATGTACAGGCCTCCCAGTGCCCTCCACACCAAAGAACTCCTTGGCCCAAAGCTCAGTAATACCAAGAATGCAAATCCCTACCAGAGGCCCCAGGAGTAAGTATGAGCAAGACTGTTACCTCTGCCTGTGGACCCTGAATACATCATTCACTTTAACCAGCAATTCAGCTAGGAACTTTCACCAGCTCTTCACCTGGGTTTCTCATGCCTGCCCCACACCAAGGGTGCAGCCTGTGCTCAGCACTGCTGTAACGGCACCTATCTGTGCCCAAGTGTTCATTTTTGCCCCCACCCTTAGCGCCTGGTGTCTTCATACACTGGAGGAAGGCTCTCAGCTCTAGAAAGTATAGTCCGGGTCCTGTCAAGAGCAGGCAGGCTTCAACAGGGCTGATTGAATAAGGTTATGAGTGAATTAACTACAGAGTATTTATAATTTACTTCCAAAAACATAATCTGGGCACTGGAGAGATGGTGCAGAGGTGAATCAGCACACTGGTCATGCAGACAACCAGAACTGGTTCCCAGCAGCCAAATAGGGCAGCTCACAACTGCCTGAAACTCCAGCAACATGGGACCCAAGGCCTTCTTCCAGGCTCCTCAGATACTGCTCTACTGCACAAACCTCCACTCAGACACCTATAACGTAATTAAAAATGAAGTGGAATGGTAAGGGGCTGGAGAGACAACTCAGTGGTTAAGGCTTCTGGCTGCTCTTCCAGATGTGGGTTTGAGTCCCGGCTTCTGCATGGCAGCTCGAAGCCACCTGTAACTCTGGTTCCCGAGAATCCAATGCCCTCCCTCTATCAGCCTCTTCAGGTAGCACAGGCATTCACATGGTACAGGACAAAGAAATAACACATCCATGCCTTTGTCTCCTGGATTCACTACTTGCCTCTGACACACAACCGAGTGAATGACATAACTCAGTGTGAGCCTTCGGACACTGGGCTGACCTCACAGAGTGGTGGGGATTGAGTGGATGACGCAGGCACTGCACACAGCGAGCCTAGCATCGGTCAGCAGAATGATGACATGCACTGTTGCAGAAGATCCCAAGATGGGCTCCAGAGAGGGTGAGAAGTCTGGGCATGGCAGCTAACTACCTCTCAGCCTGTGCCAATCAGGAGAGTAGAGAACCAAAGGGCCAGGGAAGGCAGCAGAGAAAGCTAATGCCCTGAACCTCTAACTCCCACCTACACACCCATCCTCCTCCCGGCCACAGTGCCAAAATCAAGAAAAACTGGCAAAACAACACAATTCACCAGTTTCCAGTCAGAGTCCAGAAAACCCTGTTATCAGTTTGAACAAATAAACACACTCTGGGCCAGGCAGGGAAGGGGTCTCAGGGTCAGGGCCCAGCACCTCTGCCTGCTCTGTGACTCAGGAGGTGATGTCTGCCTCCAGGGTCAGGGAATCTGAGGACCTAGGACTCCTGTCACTTATAGATCACTCTGGAAGTTCTCCTTCAGTAGTCAACTCTGCACCCGGGTCCCCAAAAGGCCAGGCTTCTAAGAGGAAGCAAGACTTTGAGGAAGGTCTGTGTGCTGGGTTCCTGAATGACAGGTGAGGCCAAGGCCAACCAGGAGCACCACGCCAGGTTCTGGGCCAGTCTGTCCTAGTTTTTTGTTACTTTGTGCCATTGCTTCGGTCAAACTCCTTGTTGAACCAGAAGAAAAGCGTGGACTGAGCCCTTGCCTATCTGGCACGGCCACACCCTTTCACAGCATTACCCGATCTGAAATCTACCTCAAGTGAATGTCCGGTATGCGAATGAGGAAAACAGGTGACATTCCGAGCCCAGGTCACTCAGCTGAGACCTGGCTGAGCCAGCAGCTCATCTGCCTGGCACCTGAGGAAGGCACATACGACAGAACACTCCACTACCAAGGTGGCCATGTGGGGCAACCCTGGCTCTTCCAGGTGGCTTGCCCCTTCCCCACCCCTCCCCCAAGGCTGGCTCCCTGCTTAATTGGCTCCATCTTGAGGCTCCTGGTGCCAAGGCTAGAGATGTAACTCAGCTGGTAGAGTTGGCTGGCATACCTCGGTACCCTGGGTCAGTGCCCAACCCTGCACAAACCAGGAGGAGTGGTGCACACCTACAACCCCGGGACATGGCAGGCAGAAGCAGGAGGATCACAAGTTTGAAATTATCCTCAGCCATGTATTGAGAGTGAGGCTAGCCTTGGCTACGTGGAGCTGACTGATTCAGCTAGACTGGCTACTTATCAAGCCCCAGAGAGCCTCATGTTTCTGCCTCCCCAGGGCTGGGACAACAGACGTGTGCCAACGTACCTGCAGGGGCTGAATTCAGGTCTTCATGCTTGTTTGCAAACATTTACTGATGGAGCTGTCTCCCCTGCTCCTGGATTTTAAACTCCACAAAGAATCAGCTTTTGGCATTTTCACGAGGTCCTCTAGGGCCCCAAACATTCTACGCCTCCTCCACCTACCCAAGCTAGACCCTCCCTTGGCTCCAGCAAACACTGGCTGCGCAGCCTCATGGCCTGGCTGTTCCCTGGACATCTTCCCAACTTTAAGGAGGACTGTGGCCTTACAGGACCTGTTTCTTCACCAGAAACATGGGTATCCAAAAAGCTGCTTCTCAGAACGGATCGCAGTGGACAAGTGTGCGGGGGAGGGGAAACAAAGTCAAGAACCTACCAGAGCATGTGGGGAGCCCCCAAAGCCTTTATCCCTTGGACAGTGCCTCAGAGGCCGTCCTTGGAGGGGGCCCTGGCCCACGGAGCTACAAACATGCCATGTCCCTGCACACGGCGGCTTTCTAGATTCCTTCTTAGGAAGCTATTCTCTTACGTCTGTGGGACAGGATTTCTTCATGAAGCCCCCTCATCTAGGGCCGTTCAATGTCCCTGTCAGGCCTCCTTAGAAAGGGCCTTTAATATCCAAACTGTCCACAAAGTGAAGGAGACACAAGACCCAGCAGCCATTGACCCCTGGGGTCTGACAGACCTGGGGACAGATCCTGGCCTCTTTCTGTAAGTGTCCTTGTCAGTGCAATGACAAGCAGCCCCACAAACTTAGGGCCAAAGAGATATTTCCATGTCACAGGAACCTCAATAAACAGCTTCCCTTGCAACTTGTGAGCTGGGGGTAGGGAGAGCCCAGTCGCCCTCACCAACTGTGTGGCGCTTTCGGTGTAAGCAGGCCTGCCTGCCCCTGGGGGCGGGGCACAGACACCACTAAGGTTCCCCTCTGCGTCTTTCACCTCACCAAAGAGAAGCTAAACTAAGACCACTATCCCTGCACCCTTCTGGGATCCCAAGGCACACGGGGGGGGGGGGGCACCTGGGCCCGCCTGCTCAGTGCCTCCTCCACAGGGAGAGGCAGCTGCCAACGGCCCATCACGGCTGCCGCCACTCCTCTATGGACATCAAGGGGCTTCGAGGAAGAGAACGGAGCCACCCACAGGCTACACCTCCCAAAGCCGGCCACCGTCAGAGGGTCCGGCCAGGAAACTGAGTCCCAGGGCTCAGGCCCTTCCCTCCTCTACCCAGTCCAGCTGGCCTTTCCCTTGGACCCCTCCCACCTGGCAGGAAGCAGCCTGCACGTGGCCAGGCCCAGCTGCACACACATGGCCTTCATCTGGGGCAGCAACGAGGGCTCGGGTGCAGCTGGGCTGGTGGCAAGTGCTGTAGTCTGACCATCTGCCCCGCACCCTCCCCCCTCGCCCCAAACTAGAGGGACTCTCTCCCACCTGCACCTCCGCCAGCAGCCCCCCCCCCCCACACACACACCATCTCTTCCCGGCTGTTTCTTCCAGGGTGCTAGATTGCAATGACACGCAGAGGCCTAACTGGTTTCCTGGGCGGATAAGCCGAGGCGAAGCTGTTAAGCGCTGGCCACTGGAAAGACTCACTAAGGCTGATTCATTCCAGGCTTTGCGGTGGCCACACGGTTGTTCTGCCACTGCACAGCGCCGCGGATGCATTGCCAAGATCTGAGCAGCACTACTCGGAGGCGGGGCAGCACAGAGCCTGCAAGGCCACCAGAAACACTGCAAGGGCCCAGCCAGTTCACACCAGCTGCCCGAGACCCTGAGACTGCCTTGTGTGAACCGGGGTGCGGAGGGGGGGGAATGACGGCAGCACCTAGCTCACAGCCGACCGGAACGCAGAGGGCGCTGAGCACAGAGCCTGGCTAAGGACAGAACCTGGCGCTCTCTGCGATTATCATCAAAATGATCAAATGGCTGGCTAGATGGCTCAGTGGGTACCTGCCGCCCAGTCCGGTGGCCTGAGTTCGATCCCCAAGGCCCACACGGTAGAAGGAGAAAACCAACTTCTCAGGTGTCCTCTCTGACCCTGACTCGCACACTGTAGCACACCGACACCCGCTAAATCAAATATAATTTTAAAATTTTCAAAAGAGCTGGGTGGGTATGGTGGTGCACGCCTCTCTGCACTCAGGAGGCAGAGGCAGGCATGTCTCTATAAATTCCAGGCCAGCCTGGCCTACATAACAAGTTAGTTGCAGGCCAACCAAGGGCACAGAGTGAGACCAAAGAATCCACACTGTCTCGTCTAACAGAGCCGCGCTCAGTCCCGAGGCCCAGGAAGACACTGAGAAAGGTGCCTGTCTGTTCCTTACTGCCTCTGCCGTAGTTTGGTCTCTTTGTGCAAGCTGCATATGAGGCAGGGAATCTACCTTAGCAGCAGAGGTCCAGAGAGGACAGGGGCCTGTCCACAGCCGTACAGAAAGCCCAGGACGGGAAGACACTGCTATGTAACACAGGCCTCCAACCACTGGGAGGGAGCTGTGTTGAGGGAAGAGGGTGCTTATATTCTCAACCCATATCTCTATTTCTGTCCTTTTGGGACAACAGCAAGTGTCCACTGGAGCACAACATCCTTCCGAGGAAAGGACAGAATGGTTAGAGCTAGGAAAAAGGAACAGGAGACACGTGTCTGTGTGTGCGCGTGTGTTCTTCGGGTAGACGGCCTGAACAAGTATGCATACATCTAACTATGTGTGCACACAAAGTCTCTCTTTGAGAATGCTTGGGCTGACCTTCTGCAGGACACCTTAAACCTGACCCTTCTAGGCAGAACTTCCACTCACTGCAGAAATGAAGGAAGACCAGTCGCAACCACGTCAAATCCGAGTCGCTAAGGTAGCCACCTAACCCCTAACTCACTCCAAGATGACCTGGGTAAGTCTCCTGCCTTCCCCTGTGAGAAGTACCCATCTGTATTGCTTATGCTATATAAAACATGTCCATATGTGCCCATGAATGCTCTCTGGGAGAAAGTAAAGAAGGTGGCTGGAACGCAGTGAGGTGGAGGCACGTGACTCCTCAGTTCAGGAGGGGCTCACCTAGCTGCAAGTGAGGCGGATGCACCAGCAACTCCCAGCCCTTCTGTCATCCTGTCCTAAATCGAGACTGCACGATGCCTTTCAGGCTGGCACTGCCCAGGCACGCAGGCACGCAGCAGCTGGCCTGGGGGGAGAAGGATGGCTCCACAGCCTGGCCAACAGCTGACATGTCTGCAAGCCCTGACAGCCACTCCACCTCCCTGATCAAACACTTCTCCCAATTCAGGCTCAAAAGCCAATAGGGCCATTTTCTCCCAGGGGTTCCGTGTCCAGTTCACTGAGGGACTAAGTCTCCAGTGCTAGACCTTACCCGCAGAAGGAAGAGAATATGAGATAAAAAGATGATGTTTTTCTGAAATGGTTTTCGACTGGCTAAAACCCAGAGGGGCTGAGTAATTTTCCAGGAGACAAACAGCTAATCAGTGGCAGAACAAACAAAAATCCATCCATTAGAGTAGCTACACACACCATCCATTCCAACCCCTTACACGACCTGGACTCGAGGGCCCATCCCACAACTTTTTTAGATCTCACGACTCTAAGAAAGTGAGAAACCAGAGTCCCAGGGGAGTGCCAAGCTTATTAAGGGGAATTGTCAACTGCCCCCTCCACCATGATAACGCTGCAGTTAAGTTAGCCACTATCAGGTGAGGAGAGGTGAGGGCAGTCGCCATCCCCGCCCCCCCCCCGGGCCGCCCCCAAGTAGCAGAAGAGAAGGGGCAGTGGTGGGCAGGATCTCCTGGGAAAGTTCCCACAGATCAGTTCCTGAAGCTGTGCCTCGAAGGATCGCAAGCTTGTAGCCCAGATCCTTAAAAGACTCCAGGAACCAGGCAAGGAGTGCAGAGAACCTAAAGGCAAGCTGAGAAAGCGTGGAAGCCAGAGGCTGCGAGGGGCTGACAAGGCCCCCTGGCTGCCCTTTCTGGTCCAGGACCCCCACGAGCGCACCTCTGTGGTGTTGTGGGCTTCGGTGCCACCAACAAGGGTCCAAGACCCCAAGCATGCCGAGTGCGCAGAGCGGAAAGGTCGTGCTCGCTCCCCTCCCCTGGCCCAGCCTTAGGAAGATTCCCATATTCCCCCTCTGTATTCCCGGCCAGACCCAGGGGACTCCAGAAGACAAATACTCGCTGCCACACGAGTCAGCTACGAGACCTGAGGTCAGACGCGCAGACAGGGTTACCCCGGGGGAAGCGGGGCGTGTCTAGGCCAGAGATCCCTAGCTTTTCGCAAGCTAAGAGCTGCAACAACGATAACTCCAACCCGCCCGGGGTGCAGGATCACCTTTATCCGAACTCCAATCCTGGGCCCTCACCCCCCCCCCACCCCTGCCACTGTTGCCGGGCGGCGGAAAGCGGGTACCTGTTTCCTCAGCGCCTCGAAGGCTGCGCTGATGGTGTGCACCCGCGTCCGCTCCCTGGCGTTGGCCAGGAGCCTCCGGGTCTGCTGCAGGGCTTTGATCTCGGTGGAGGCGGCGGTCGCTTCGCCGGGCCGTTTCCTAGGCGACGCGGAAGAATCCGGGTGGTTATTGTAAATTACGTGTGAAATTGACGAGTAGGAACTTTCCCCGGAGCGCGTGGGGGGCGGAGGGCGCACGGGGGACTCTCGCGGCGCCGCTGGGGGTGCGGGAGGCGCGGGCGGCGGGGCGCGCGCGGGAGGGGCGCACAGTAAGATGCGGGGACGCAGAGGCGGCTCGCGGAAGGGCTGCGTCTCGGGACCCCCGGAGGCCAGGCTCTGGGGAGCCGGAGGCGGCGGTGGCGTGGGCAGTCCGGGTCCCAGCGTGCCCAGAGCGAAGCCGCGTTTGCGCGCGTCTGCGCCTTCAGGCGCTCGGATGCCCCTGAGCTCCCTGGCTAGGTCGGTGCCTCCACCTGGAGGAACCGCCGGCGCCACGGAGGCTGGCACTGGGGTCGCGATCGGGAACGGCTGGGTCCTGTCCCGGAGCCCGTTGGTGGCGGCGGTGGCGCTGGCCGCGGCGCCGGGCTCGGGCGCTTCCAAGTCCAGTCGGAAAGTTTTATAGCCGTTCGCGCGCCGCACCGGCTCCTTGCCTTTCCGCTTGAGCTTCTTGAGGCCGTTCAGCTCTTTCACGCACACTGTCTTCCACGGCCCGTCCTCGAGGACCGGGATGTGCTTCATGGTGCGGTCGGCGCGACGAAGGGGCGTGGGACCGCCCGGGACGCGCGCCCTCCGCACGCCGCGCGCCCGCCTGTGCCCCGCGCTCAGCGCGCCGGGCCGCCGCGTCCCCCCGCCTGCCCTCCCTCCCCGGCCCCTCCCTCGCTCCCCAACTCCCGGGGCAGCTGCGCCTCCGGCTCCGCGGAGCCCAGGAGGCTGCCCGGTCCCCGGGAGCGCTCAGAGTGTCATCTGAAGTCGCGGCCGCCTTGCCAGCGTTTCTGCAGAACGCCCGCTGCGCTCCATCTGTGTTTGTTTAGCCTCAGTTTACACAGAAGCCCAGTTCGCAAGATCACTCAGCGCCGCCCGCCCGGAGAGAAGCAGCTCCTGCCGCCGCCGCCGCCCGAGCCCAGGCCGCCCGAGCTGCGAGCGCCTTTAAAGAAACAGGAAGCATTTTTCAAAACAGCTGGGCCGAGGGCCGCCTCCTTTGTCCGCGTGCTCGCGGCCTCCCCCAACCCCCATGCCTTCTGCCGGAACCTGCCTCCTCCTGCCCGCCCTCCCCGCCCCCTCCTCAAGTTGGGGGCGCGCCTCCTCGCCCCAAAGCCAGGCTGCTCTCTGCACTACTGTCCTGAGCACGTGGCTGCTGAGCGGTCTGGCCCCTCATTGCCCAGCCTTGCTGTCCTGCGGGGTGACTCAGCGCTGACCTTCCCTACCCAGAACCTTCCCGGTCACCTCCCACCCAAACTGTCCAACAGAGGGAGAAATCCCAGAGCTTCTGGAGGGAGAAGATAAGTGGGAGACGAGAACCCCCGAGTGGCTGGTCATTGTCACCCCACTGCCAGGCCTTCTCCCTTCTTTCTCCTGTTTCCTGGAGCAGAGGCCCCAGGAACAGAAGAGGACACCCGACGTTAGGAAACTGAGGCACCACAGTCCACAGGGAGGCAGAGGAGGGTGGAAGTTTCTGGTTTAGCAGATGGACTGTGAGTGAAGATCAGAAGCCAGTTCACCAGGGCGCCCGCTAAAGCCAGATTTACTCATCTATGAAATGAGGAACCCGGAGAAGATGCGTGCTTGTCCCAGCCTGGCTGTGCGGACTGAACGCAGACACAGTGGAGGCCGGTTCAACAGTAGCTGTGCTAACGGTCTCGAGAAGGCAGCTTCTTGATAAGTTTCGAAGCTCAGCTCTGCCATTTCCTGGGTGACCTTGGCGTGGGCAGGCAAGCCTCTGCACCCCCCTCTCCCTGTGGCCAGGGAGGGGTCATTGAGCACAGCCTGATGTCAGTGGTAAGGGGCAGAGCCCGCTTTCCAGACCCCCATCCTCCATCCACTGGAGATCCTGCTAGAAGGAAGCCACCCGGAGGCCTGCACAGGTGCTGTCCACACAGTTTCTCCCCATCTTCTCACTGAGCCTCCCCCACGCGCTTCCTCCTTGAGGCGAGTGGTCATCAGAAGGATTAGATGAAGCTTGCATACAGCATTTGAACGATGCCCAAAGTCTCGTGAATGCTGGCCCAGGACACCCAGCTGTAGTGACACTGGATCTCAGGATCTAGCCGGGGTTGGGCAGAGTCGTAGACTGGGTTGCCCATGGCAGTTAGGAGCATCAGAAGTGTCCATGTCGTTGGGTGTCATTCCTAAAGAGGCAGTCAGTGTGTGGGAAAGCTCGTCCTTGAATACAGCGGGCTCCGCAGAAGCTGAATTCCAGCCCTCTTCTGTCGTCCCCCAAGAGAAGGGAGACCGCTGCATTCGGATGGAAGGAAGGGGATCAGAGACAGGAATGACAGCTACGCGGTGTAGATCTAACAGAGCTCACACCCTACACCCCGAACCCACCCCATCTTCACCCGGCCACCTCGCTTTCTGGTCAGCTGAGATTCTGGACTTGGTAGTCAGGGGGTGAAAGGGTGTTCAGAGGGACAGAAGAGAAATTTGAGTTCCCTGAGGGATGTTCCGCGTGCCTGTGACTGCCATTCTCTGTAGATTTCAGGCCGAGGCCAGCTGAATGCAAACCTGTGCCCTCCCAGTGCTCCAAGCACTCCCGGATTCCCATCAGCTTCCTTGAGAAGCTGGACAGAAACCAACTGGACAGCGCCCCCTGGTGGTATAAAACTTAGGCAAGACTCACTACACGACTCAAGGAACTTAGCACTAAGAATCTGGTGAATCCAGGGAGGTGCTCCGATGAAGAGGCTCTCAGTTCTCCCAGTAGCTCCATCCTTGCTTTATGTGAAATGACACAGATACCCTCCAGGAAAATCTACACCCTTAGTAAAACCCTCCACCAAGACAACCTTCTGAGGTTACACTGGAAGGCCAGTGGTGCCTCTGGAAGATTCCCTGTCCTTTGAGTGGCTGTCCCATGGCATAGGAGTGAACTGGAAAAGGAAGGGAAGGCAAATGCTTAGAACTGAAGTCACAGGAGAGACATGCCAGGCAGCTGAGGTCTGTTAATCACCACCACAAAGGGAGCAAGCACGTGGGTTTGTATCCCTCGTCTTTATGATGACACAGGAAGGCAAACCCAGTTACCCACAAGAAAACCACAGCTTCTGGTGGGAGAGAGTAGCCAGCAGAAGGGGACTGAGACCAACAGACCCTGAAACTCGAATTCTGAACTGTTGTGCTCCCCTCTGCCTCCTGAGAGTCCAGTGAGTAGCACCTGGGGGTGAGGGATTGGACCGTCAGTGGGACTGGCTTTTGGACAGATAGCTGTCTCTTCTTTGTGCTTCTAGCCTGAGTAGAAGCTGGAGCCACAAGGCTCCCGTAGCCCAGCCTGCTGTCCGCCTGGCTCCTTCCAGACCATGCCCAGACCTCTACCTTGGACCTGAATCATGGTAGCCGTCCCCTAGTGTTTCCTCTTTGCTGCCCAGCACAACCTGCCCATGGGGCCTTGGTACACAAGTACAGCCTGTGCCGACCGGACAGCGCTTGAGGGTGGAGCCCTGTGATTTCTGTCTTCTCCAGATGAGAAGGGACCTTAGATACTAGCTGCATGAGGCTCCACATTCCTGAACACTGAGTCTATTTCTGGCTGCTGAGATTGCTCCAGCGTGCCTGTGCCCTGTTAGAGAAATCGGGGAAGAGTGAGAATTAAACAGCCAGGTGCAGGCAGCTCTCAGTGCGAACAGCGCCCTTTGTAGTTGTGCTCACAACAGCCCCACATAGGAGCAGCTGGGGCGTGAAAGGAAGAGCAGACTACCCTGGATCTATGAAAGCCCCACTCTGCCACCTAGCCAGGGAGCCAGCACTGCCACCATTAACCAACAGGACGCTGGATCCAGTGATGAGACATCTTTCTTTCGACCTTCCTGCACCCCAGTGGCTATCCCAGCTACGGAAAACCAAGTGTTGGGGCTCGGCAGTAAGGGAGGAAGGAGTCTCTCTGAGACCTTGTGGTTCTCACTTTGTCCTGAGTATGCCCTGCCCTTTGTGGAGAGTCTCTGGAAAAGGGCAGTGTCCGTGGGGTGGGGTGGAGGGCTCACTCCTGACTCTCAAGTCCAGAGGAGAAGGACAAAAGTCAAGAGGAACGAGGTCAGTAGTAGAGTACCTACTCAGCACACACAAGGCTCTGGGTTTGATCCCCAGCATGAAAGGAGGCAGGGAGGAGGGAAAGGCTGTTAAAGCGTGGGATGCATTCTGTCCTCTCTCTGCTCAGAGCATCCCAGTAATTTCGCTTTGCTCAGGTGTGTTAAAGGCTCCCATGGCTTCCTTCCCTCTGAGCATTCCTGGAGACACAGAGCAGTGAGTCTGGGCTGCCCTGCCATTCCTTTGGCTAGTGGAGCCTTGGAAGTGGCAGTGTGCTTTACAGGGATTGGCTGTGTCAGCTCCCTGCCAGGTGGAGCCCTTAGTCGCCAAGGTAGAGGCCCCTGTGATTCTCCTGGGGATGAGGGTGGAACACCTCAGGACCTCTAAGAGCTTCTCTTGATGTGATAAATTAAGCAGAAGAAAATGGTTCAGATCAGAAGCTGTTCATACCTTGGACAGATTCGGCAGGGCGCCATGACAGCTGTCTGGAGCCCACATACTAAGTGCAGACAGTTCCCATCCATTCCCTCTAAGCATCCATAGTGTTGGGCTGTTGTTCCCCAGGCTAGGGATACAGCAGTGGACAGAGAAAAACCCTGACATGAATAGAACTACCATTCTAGTGCAAAGAGATACAGTGTCCTGGAGAAAGACCTTATGCAAAATGACAGGTGCTTCAGGAAGAGTTTAGGAAGTAGAGTGTGGTGGGACAGCTTTGGAGCACTTCTCGAAAGAAAGGGCATTTGAACCAGGAAAGAGGTAGGATTGCCAGAGGACCCATACCCCCACCTGCTGCTCCTCTTTCTTCGTGTTTATGCTGTTCTGTCCCATGATTGCAGAGGTCCCCTCTCTCCGTCCATTTGCAACTGGGACCCTTTTCAAGTTTTATCCTCCTCCAGTGTATGGTCTTCTTGTACACCAGCTTCATGGCTTTTGCTTGTCATTCATCAGGAAGAACAGATAGGGCCACTGTCTGTGGTAAGCAAAGCCCCACAAGGCAGGTGGCAGGGTGCGGCTCTAACAGTCGAGTTTTGCTAAGAAATGATGAGGTGACTTCAGCCGCAGGGATCTCTGCCCAAGGCTGACACAGTGACTTTTGCAGATGAAGAGAGAGCAACCAAGTCTGCAGGCACCCAGTTTCCCTTGGCATGGCACCCATCCTCCCCTGACCTCGCTGTTAAATCGCAGGACTCATTCTGCATTCCTCTTTCTAGGGTCAACAACAGGGAACCCCTGAGGGGTACAGGCAGGAAAGCCCTCTGCTCTTGCTGTGTTTGCCTATGGGGCTCTGCTCCAGCCAGTCCTTCATGTGGCCAATAGGAGTACTGAGCATCGATGTTTGTGTGAAAGGGGGGCTGCAGAGGCGAATGCTCGGTGGTGAAGAGACTGGCCGTTCCTCAGAGGACGCAGCTTCAGTCCTAGCGCTCACACCCTACTGTTCAGCACCTTCTATGATCCAGTTTCTGGGGACTCCAGGCCTCTTCTGGTCCCCTTGGGTACTTGCAAACCATATGACGCACAAACACACGCA